GCAACAGGCCCCTGTAGCCAATGCTGCTGGACTTCTTCAGAGAGCTAATTTGCATTATGCCCCCAGGGTCTGTGACTTCCTCCACTATTCCCTTCTGCCTCTCCTTTTGTCCCTTTTGTGTTTTAAGGCTAGATGCGTTTTATCACAAAGTGGAGCCCAAATCAGGTAAAACAGAAAAAGAGGATCGCCATTAGGCTCCTTAGATGGCTGCCTCAGAATTGATTGGGGAATTGGGCAGGGTGAGGCACATCTGTAGTCCAGCTCTCTTTCTTCTCCCGCCCCCTTCTGCTGTCACCAGGCAGAAAATTCCCTCTCCCACCTTCTGAATACAATCCAAACGATGCCCTCCCCAGTCACGCACTGCACCCCGAGACCATCAGCCTATCCAGCTCTAACAATCAGCTGCAGCGAATTCAAGTTCAGATTTCTGCTTTGATGGGCGGCTACTGAGAAAGGGAATATGACAGCAGAAGGGGGCGGGAGGTAGAGGCAAGCGGCTCAGAAATTCCAGCCCAATCTGAGTTATATAAGACCCTGGTCAAAAGAGCTATTTTGAAGCTACCTGTGGTGGCCTGTGCCTGTAATCACTTGGGAGGGGTGGCTACGAGGATAGGGAACTTAGAATCAGCTTTAGCTACATAGGGAATTCTAGACCAACCTGGAATGTGCATGAGACTCTGGTTGAATATATGTGAAAATAACAAAACAAAACATTTTGGGGATCTTGTTAGGAATGCAGGCAAGCAGATTCTTGAATCCTATCTCTGGGGGATTCTGGCTTACTTAGGAGCGTAGGGCATGAATTTGTGTTTTATAATTTTAACTGAGGATGTAGTTGATTCTAAGGTGTAAATAATCAGAAAGGCCCAACTCTTCCTAAGGGCACATGGTTAGGGGTTAGTTATTGTTTAATTTTTATGTTGTTTGTTTGCTTTGTTGTTATTGTTGTTTTGAGACACAGTCTCACACTATATCCCAGGCTGACCTGGAGCTAGTGACAATCCTCCTGTCTCAGCCTCCCAACTCTTGTTATTACAGGCATGAATCACCAAGTCCAGTTTAAACATTATTGAACATTACTATGGAGAATGTTAATTTGTTTGATCTTTATTATAAGCATCCTTTAAAGTTTGCTTTTTGTTGTTTTCTGGGGATGAGCAAACTGCTGGGGGGGGGCACCATCAGTCCCCTGGGATGGACAGTTGTCAGATCCTTCCCTTATACCTGTCTGCCTTGAAGTGGTCCCTTTGACAACAGCCAGACTACACTGAAGGCAGTCCATCTACTTTGAACAGCCATATCCCTCCAAGGAAACCCCACTCCAGCTGCAGAGGACCCTGCAAGCATAGGTACTTTGGGGAAAGTCACTACTCCTGGTTCAGGGGACTTTGCTCTCTGATGACAACTTCTCCAGGCACTTGATGGCATTTGGAAGACTCCTTGCCTCCTCAGTGCAAGAATACTTTACCCTGTGGTTGTTTAACTCAGTGCGAGGAATCCCCTGTGATTGGAATAACATGAAGTTTTCAATGGGTTCCTAAACAAATCATGACTGGTAGAACTGAGAACTTTACATATGCAAGACTGTGGTTGGTGGATTATAATTCCAGCATGATTGTGTCATGTGCCTTTTCCTCCGATATCACCAGGCATTTTCTCAGTTTTGTCAGCTTAACCCTGGAGGTTTCTCTGGTGTACTTTCCCTGGTTTTGCAGCATCAAGTGTAATAAATGTTTTCTCCAGATGGTCTTTTATTGCCTACTTGTGGCCTTTATCACATATGGCAGGCTGAGCTGGTAACACCAGGACTTCTAGGCCCAGACATCCAGCTGCTATTGCAGCTATAGCAGCCAGAGAGTGGTTGCTGATGCTATAAGCCAAGAAATCCTGGAGCTATGAGCCCTTGTCTCACTCAGAAGCCAAGAGGTGACTGGAGAGCTCTAGAGAATGGCCAAGAGCCAGAGGCCACAGAGACTATGAAGGACTATAAAAACATTACTATAGGCTGCATATTTTTTTCTTCTGAGACATAAATTTTTAATTGGTCTTGGTCACTAGTTCTTAGAAAACATTCCTGTACTGTATCTTCCTGCATCTCTTCCTCCTTCATGTGTGTGAAATAAACCCAGTCTAGGTCAGGCAGGACCAAACATGCCTGCAATCCCACTTGAGAGGTATAGTCAAGAATATCAGAAGTTCAAGATCATCTTCGTCTTCAGAGTCAGTTCAGGCTTCCCCTGTCTTAAAAATGGAACAGACCACAATGGGACTGGACTACCCAATGACAGACAGTGCTAGAACTCTGCCACTCACGGAACTCTTGGGTTTCAGTTCAGTTGCTGTGTTGTTCTTCTCTGACTCTAACATGACTTTTCTTCTGAAATTGACTTCACTGGCCCGAGAGAAGGAGCAGTTCCATGTTGGAGGCACAGAGAAGATGGTTGCATGGTGGTTTGAATGAGAATGGCCTCCATAGGCTTGTATATTTGAATGCTTGGTCCCTGCTAGAACACTTTTGGGAAGGATTAGGAGGTGTGGTCTTGCCAGAGGAGGTTTGTCACTGGGGTCAGGTTTTGAGGTTTCAAAAGTCCCCTCCATGCTCAGTGTTGCTTTCTCTGCCTGCTGCTTATGAATCAGATGTAAGCTCTCAGCTACTGCCCCAGCGCCATGCTTGCTAGCCTGCTGCCTCGCTCCCCTTCATGCTGGTGATGGATGCACTTTCTGAAGTGGTAAGTAAGCTCCCAATTAAATGGTTTCTTTTACAGTTTGCCTTGATCATTGTGGTGGTCTCAATAAGAATGCCCCCCACAGACTCATATATTTGAATGCTTGGCCATCAGCAGGCGGTGCTACTTGAGAAGGATTAGGAGATGTGACCTTCTTGGAGGAAGTGTGTCACTTGGAGTGGGCTTTGAGGTTTCAAAAGCCCATGCCAGACAAAGTCTCTGTCTCTGTCTCTGTCTCTGTCTCTGTCTCTGTCTCTCTCTCTCTCTCACCTCTACAACTCAGAATGTAGCTCTTAACTACTTCTCTACACCATGTCTGCCTTCATGCTGTCATGCTCTTCACCATGGTGATAATGAACTAAACCTATGAAACTGTAAGCAAGCCCCAATTAAATACTTTCTTTTTATAAGAGTTGCCTTAGGGGCTGGAGAGATGGTTCAGAGGTAAAGAGCACTGGCTGCTCTTCCAGAAGCCCTGAGTTCAATTCCCAGCAACCACATGGTGGCTCAGAACTGTCTGTAATGAGATCTGGTGCCCTCTTTTGGTGTGCAGGCCAAAATGGAGGCAGAATACTGTGTACATAATAAATAAATAAATCTATATTTTTTTAAAAGGGGGAAAAAGAGTCGTCTTGGTCAGGGTGTCTCTCAGAGCAATAAGAACAGTAATCAAGACAGCCATGGCACCTCTTCCCAGCAGTAGAACAGTAACTTAGACAAGTTGTTTACCTGACACAATTGGGGTGAGGCTTGCAGCAGCTTGTGGAATTTTGTCAGGCTTTTGTTTCTGTGTCCCAGGACTATGACTCCTGAATCTGGCCCCTAAGCAGAATCTTCTTCTGCCTTTGAAATAGCTTCCTTACCAGATGAGGTGCTCTGCAGTGCTCTGAGACACTGAGTTAAAAAAAATGCTGGTCATATACAGATTGCCAGGTTAGATCACAGGAAGAACACCAGGGCCTCTTCATGTGAGGCTGGGAGGAACAGTTGCTAAAGTGACTTAAAGTTTAGTGTAGATTGCCAACAAGGAGCTAAAGGAAGGAGGGCTTTCCAATTATAAGAGCTCCAAGGACTCTAAAAAAGGCCATATATTGTTTCCAACTGTAGAAATTAAGCCTTCATTGCCAGGCAGTAGTGGAGCATGCCTTTAATTTCAGCACTCATTGGGGAGGGGGCAGAGACAGGTGGATCTCTGTGAGTTCTAGGCCAGCCTGATCTACAAAGCAAGTTCCAGGATAGCCAGAACTGTTACACAGAGAAACCCTGTCTCAAAAAACCAAACAAACCAGCAAAAATCTTCTTGAAAGTTAAGAGAGGAAGTGTTC